CACCCCCCCCCCCCCCAATCCAACTCAGGGCCTCCTGCTTGCTAGGCAAGTGTTCTACCAGTCCTTTTGCTTTTCTATTAATTTGTTTTCAAGACAGGATTTTGAACTAACTTGGCCCAGTGGCCTCAAATCAAGATTTTCCTATGTCTGCCTCCCAAGTATCTGGGTCCACAGGCGTGTGCCCTGTGTCAGAGCAACTCTCCAACTCAGAATGGAAACTGCTTTTTCTTAAAGCCCTAAAGGCTGAAATGGAATAGCCTGACATAAATTTCAAGGGACAAGCCTTAGGCTGATGTGCAGGCCACACAGAAAGTTTTAATTTTCAAATCAGGACAAAAAGTTTATCAACTTCATGCTAAGGGAAACAAGATGGAACAACACTCCTTTTCTTAATGAAACTCTCGCCCTTCTTAATTTTTTTTAAATTATAGGGTTCAGGTGTAATTAAAATTTCACAAATGGCGGCTACTGCAATTAACTTGAGAGAACTTAAGAAATAGTATCTCTCATCAAGTAGGATACATTTGGCAACATTCCCAACATAAACTTTTTCATTCAAATTACTCTTATGGTTCTTTTTGATAATACCCTCTTAATTCAACTGAGTCATAGGGTACTAAATGAAACATTTGATTTAAATAATCTATAAGGAAACGTTTGTGTTAGATTTAATTTGACACATTGCACCTGCATAAATCCCTCAGAAGAAAGTGCGATCCAATTTCATTGAGAGAAGATAACAGGTCAGGGGTCACAAGAGGCCTCATCAGTCTGCCTTCTCACTGGACTGGTTCAAGTACAGCAGGTTAACTCACCAGCTCCAATTCAGTTGTTTCTTTCAGAGCTTTGTGTCATGCAAAGTACATTCTTTACACACTCTGTGGTTTTGTTTTATATTACTTCCTTTTGGACTTTGTACTTGTTGCCAGATGCAGAAGTATATCTCCTAACAAACAAAACAATGCTAACCCAGACCCAAAACTTTAAAATGGTAGCCAACATCTATGCAACAAAAAAAATTGAGCTTAGTAATGACCTCTAGGTAAACAGCCTGAGAACTTCTCTTTCTAAACTTCCGTGTTCTTCAAACATGACTAAGATGTAATAAACTGTTGACAATGATTCCCAGTCACCGCTCCACCTCACACACACCTCTCCCCACAAACCTGGGACCAGACCAGACCCACCACAGGGACAGGTCCATCCTGGTACTAAGTGTCAGTCAACCCCAACTCCAGGATGATAGATCAAGCGCTTTCAGAGAAAGAGCAGACTTCATCTGAAGGGAAAAGGGTCAAAGTTTCTGGATTAAAAATGCAGTCATTTTGTCAAGTCCTAATAGGGACAAAAAAAAAGTTTCATAAAGTTCATGAAAAGACAGTGTTGTGCACGTGTCTGATAACAAAAATTATCACAGAAGATCTTTCCAGAATGACAGCCATGCAGGATGGCATGGCAACCTTACACAAAAATAACGTGTGGAAGGATGTGGATACAACAATTCCTTGTGGAATCTTGGACCGATGCCATTTGTTATTGACTTCTATAATCAAAGACTATTGTTGCAAAATAATTGTATCAAAACTTGGAGAACCTCTCTCTACTTAGGTTGACACAGGGAGCAATCTGATTCCAGAGCTTATGTTCCAACAAAGTTCTCATAGATATAGACAGAAGAATCCAACTGATATTCAAGCTACCACTGCAGATCAAGCAGTCTGATAGTAACTTGGCTTAATAGATTACTCTCACGTGTGGTGCCAGAACTAGGTGCGGTCCTTGAGCTTTTTTCTCAAGAACATTTGCACTCTACCACTTATGCTACATGTCCACTTCTAGCTTTTTGGTGGCTAATTGGAGGTAAGACTCTCATGGACTTCCCTGCCAGGGCTGGCTTTAAACCAAGATCCTCAGATCTCAGCCTCAAGTAGCTAAGATTATAGGCGTGAGCCCCCAGTGCCCAGAGAGCCCTCCCCCCTTTTTTGTCAGTTATGGGGCTTGAACTCTGGGCCTGGGTGCTGTCCCTCAGCTCTTCAGCTCAAGGAGAGTGCTCCACCACTTGAGCTACAGCGCCACTTCTGTTTTCCTGAGTGTTCATTGGAGATAGGAGTTTCATGACTTTTCTGCCCGGGCTGGCTTTGAACTGTGATCCTCAGATCTCAGTCTCCTGAGTAGCTAGGATGACAGGCGTGAGTCACTGGCGCCCGGCTTGAGCCCATTCTTTTTGATTGAACAGTTTTTCAGTCTGCATAAGAATATTCAAGTTTTGACTTAAAAATCTTGGCCAGATGTCAAAGGATAAGAAAGTGTCCTCAATTAGTAGACTATCTGAAAACTTCAGACACAATTACTTTTTCAAATGCACAAAAGACTCCAAAAGATAGATAAATCACCCCTGAGAAACTTACTTGTGTTTTAAGGTCTTCGCTTAAAACAAAACAACAATAACCCCCACCCCCCACTCCGGTGGCTGTAGCACTGCCGCGGCTAATGTCCCTAAAACTGAACAAAGGGAATTCAGAGTATTCCGTAGGCCAGGTTGCCAAGTTGTAGTAGGGTCACCTGTCCGGAGAAAAGCTGCACCAGAGACAAGCTCATCCCAAAGGGGAAGCGGGACCAAGGACGCACCGCACCCGACCGGGGTGATTTGAGGCGATCATGGTTACACTTTGGGAGGAGACAATAAACTCCAGGATTTGGGGATGGCCGAGACTATATCCGAATCCAAATTCTTTTCATTTCTTTTCTTATCACTTCCCTCTCAGTCCTTTCTATTGGTCTCCCGCTTTTTCCAGACGAAGCCCAGTGTATTTCTGAATGAAACCTCGCAGCCGGTCAGGGCTAGCTTGCCCGGCAGGGTGCGGCGCGCAGAGGGCGCAGACCGCGGGAGCGCAGCGTGCGAGGGCGCAAGGCGTGGGGGTGCAGCGCCGGGGCGCAAGGCGCGCGGGACCCGCAAACCCCAGGGTCGCCGAGCACAGGGAGAGCGCGGGACGCGCAGACCACGGGAATGCGGGGCACAGGGGGCGCACACACCCCGAGAGCGCAGAGCGCAGGGGAAGCAGGACCCGCAGACCCCGGGAGCGCAAAGGTGGCGCGGGGCGCGCAGACCCCAGGGACGCGGGGCACAGGGAGAGCGGGACTCGCAGATCCGGGAGGCGCAGGAGGCGCAGGGGCGCTCAGACCCCGGAGACGTGGGGCGCGGGGGAGCAGGGCCGGTGCGCAGGGGGCGCGAGACCCTCAGACTCCGGGGGCGTAGGGCACAGGGGCGCGGGCGGGACCCGCAGACCCCCGAGGGCGCTGGGCGCAGGGAGGGCGCGGGACCCGCAGACCCTAGGGGCGCTGGGCGCAGGGGAGCGGGGCGTGCAGAGCCCAGGGGCGCAGGGGAGCGGGGCGTGCAGATCCCGGGCGCGCAGGGCGTGCAGACCCCAGGGGCGTAGGGTGCAGGGGCGTGGGACCCGTAGGCCCCGGGGGCGCAGGGGGTCGCGGGGGCGCGGGGCGTGCAGACCCCAGGGGCGTAGGGTGCAGGGGCGTGGGACCCGTAAGCCCCGGGGGCGCAGGGGGTCGCGGGGGCGCGGGGGGCGCTACCTGTGTATGTAGTGCAGCACAAACATGGCCAGGAGGATGCGGTTGGGCCAGCTGGCGAGGCGCAGGGCGCGCGCGCGGGCGCACTCGTACAGCGGCCAGGCCAGCGACGGCAGCTCCTGCAGGAGCCAGGCGGCCCGCGCGGGCACCCGGGGCCCGGACCACTGCGGCGAGTAGCGGCCGTAGGGCGAGCCCACCCACTGCAGGACCACGAAGCCCAGGAGACCGAAGAAGCCCTCCAGGTAGGCCAGCGCGTCCAGCAGGTGCGGCTCCGCCAGCTCCATCGTCGCGGGCAGGCGGCGCGCTCCATGCCCGGGCCGCCGTGGCGGGCCACATATAGGGTGGCGGGGAAGGGGCGGGAGGCTCGGCCACCGGGTCCCCGGGCACCGCCACCGACCCTGGCTCCTCCCGGGCGGTGAAATCAGGCCCCGGGGGTGGGGCTGACACCTGCTGCGGGCGGGGCCGGGACCAGAACCAAGCCCGCTACCCGGGGGAGCGTGGAGCCACGCGCAGCCCGGACCCGAGCGCCCCGGAGCCGGGCCGCGCCCGCGTCTGGACAGGCCCCGCCCCCTCACGTCCGCACGCGCCTGGGGCGAGCCCGAGTCCCAGGAGGGCCCCGCCCGCCTGGTGCGGGCCCCGCCCCCTCGCGCCAGCCCCGCCCCCTCAGCCCACTTCTGGGCAGCAGAGTCCGGGAAGCGGCTGACCCGCTCCTATCTGCGCACGCGCGCTGTCTAGGTCGTCTACAGTATTGCCTGAGTCGACGTGAAGAGCGGGATATTTTGCGGGCGGGAGCTTTCGGGGCTCCTCTCAGTTATTATTTCCTTCTGTGGTGAGCCGTGTTCTTTTCTGGGGTTCCGTCTTCCCGAAAGACGCGTTGTGGCGTTTTGGCACGTTTCTCGACGGCTTCTGCTCGGCCAGGCCGGTCCTCGCGGGGGCCTCGGGCCCCGGGCGGAAGTCGTGCGGGCGTCGCGGCCGTGGCGGGCCGCTTTCTGCGAGCAGC